AAACAAGGTGAAAAGCTCCCCAGCCCTTCAGACCTCTTTATATTTGTATTTTCTCTTAAAATACACTGCTGGTTTTGCTTTGGTAAACTCCAGCTCATCATTCCTGGCTGAGTTGTCTTTGTCTGGGACAACATTCCAGTCACAGCACTTGGATTGAGCCACATAAAGGGGACATTGCCCATGGCAATTCCAAAATATTTTGGAATCCTGTTATTAATGAAAGCCAATGAATTATTTTAATCATCAGCTGTCACTTATTTAAAAACTGTTGGCATTCCAACGCTTTTTTTTTAGATGAAGGCAAAAGGATCCTGGAAATCTCCATCCCCAAGGGTCACTCAGAGTTGGTGACACACGTTTTTAACAGCAGACTTGACACCCAGGAGGCATTTTAAGAGTCCAAGCAGCCCTTCCAGAGGTGAATTCACCTTTCCCAAGGCAACCAGGAGGATCCAGGGTGTCCCTTGGCAGAGGATTTATTAATGGCAGAGGAACTGCAACTCTGTTAATGAACTTGCAGGGCTGATTATTGTGCATAACTAATGCATCTCTGCCACCTACAGTACAGCCTAAACCCTGGATTATCCACTGGCTGAGTCCTGCACAATGAGCAGCGTGACTGGAAACATCCTTTACACTCCAAAACCAGCTTTTAAGTTTGTTCTCCATCATTTCTCTATCGATTATTTCCATTTTTCAGCCCTTTTAGAAGCACGAGGTGTTCCAGAAATGGATTCTCTGTGGCTTTTTGCCATCCTTGGGAGAACTCAAAGACAGCTGGACTGACTGAATTGGAAACTTTTCTCAAATAACTAAACTTCAAACCAACAGATTTGGGGCCCGGATCAAACACGGGGATGCCAAAAACCCAATTGTGAGGAAGCCACTGTGGCTGGTTGTTATGACAACAGGCTTAAAACTTCATCCTCTCAGCCCCCCAAAGGCCATTTTATTATTCATTCTGAATCAACAGTCAAAACTTCTCATAAAACAATCTCTGGGCATGCAGAGCCAAATTTTAACTTTCATAACCATGGCGAGACAAGTAATTCGATTGAGTGATATTAAAAAAATAAGAGACCAATAAACTAAACCTGCCTGGATGAGGCAGAATTTCTCCTGTCCTCCATCCCTAGTTTTGTTGTTTTTTGGGTTTTTTTTAATATCCACATCCTTCAGAGGTGGATTCAGATTAGTAATCCACCCTTTTACCTTGGATTCCTCAGGATTCCAGGCTTTTCTTTTTATTTTCTTGCTTTTTAATGTCCATTGACGACCTGAAAATCTCTTCCAGCCTCTCTGTGTCCATCTGTCCCCTTGTCCCCTTCTTGCTGCCCATCCCCAGGACACAGACCCCCTGTGGGTTTGGGTTGGAAGGGAGTTAAGGCTCTTTATATCTCACTCTTGATGATCTTGGAGGTCTTTTCCAACCTCACTGACCAGCAGGAGTTCAGAATTCTGCTCTTTCCCCTCCAACAGTTGGACTTTGCTGTCACCTCCTGTCCCCAACTCCCCCCTGAGCACTGCTGGGGAAAAAAATGCATCTCTCAAACAACTAATTTTATCCCAAATCCTTCCCAGCTGTGTTTTTAATCAGAGCACTGAGGTGTTGAGGGGTTTTTTGTTTGAAGCCTCCCCATTAAACACAGCTCCTCCAATTCCTTTATTGCAGAACACAGAGAGGTTAATGCCATCAAAAACTCCTCTTTTGAGGAAAAGCACCCAAGTGTGGCTTTCACAACTATTTTTCTTCATTTCTTTTCTTGCTCTTGTATTTCCCATGGAAGGCAGGCATGAAATATTTATCCCATTCACTCAGCCATCCCTCCCCTGGCACAATTAGTATTTCTGTACATGGATGGCACTGATTGCATTCATGTCCCATTATCTATTTACAATCCCAATTCCTGCTTTAATTTGTGGAGAGCAAGAAAGGGGGGAAGGAAAAAAAAAATCAATAAAATGTCACAAAGTGAGCTGGAAGCACTTGAAGAGAGGAAGGAGGTGTTTGCAGACACCTGCAAATTTGAACCACCCTGGAATTTGGCTGTGCTGCTTCTCCCAGGACCCAAATCCAAGGAGTAGTTCCTGGAGTGGATGCAGGAGAACAGCGATTTAACTCAAGGTGGGAATTCCACCTGAAATCCCATTATATCAAGTGGAGATGATGGATTTAAGCACAAACCTGGAGGCATTTCTGTGCCCTGGAGCTGCCCAGAGCTGGGCTGCAGCTGAACACCAGCCCCAGTGAGCCCAAATGAGAGATAAAGATCATCAGTGGGCACGTTTGATCTTTTTTTCCCCCCTGAACTAATCTTGTTTGTTTAATTTAATCCCTCTGTTCACTGAATCTCTCTCTCAGCATCCCTGTGGCACAGGGATCTCCAACTGCTGCTCATCACTCCCCCCAGCCAGGCTGGGACATGCCCTGGAGCCTCCAACACACATTTAGGGTGAACCTCTCTGATCCTGCAGCTCCCCAGAGCTCAGCTCCTCCTCCTCCTGCTCTGGCTGGAAAGGAGACCCTCTGCAGTCAGTGGGAGAGGAGGAGGAGAGATTCCAGGAGAGGGGAGTCACAGAAAGCCCCCTGGTCCCTGTCAGGGCCAGTCAGCAGGAGATTTGAGGAGAAAATCACTCCTGGAGCCTTGGCAGAACAAGAGAACCAGGATCACCCCACCCCTGGAAGTGTCCAAGGCCAGGTTGGGTGGGCTTGGAGCAACCTGGGCCAGTGGAAGGTGTCCCTGCCCCTGGCAGGGGGTGGCACTGGGTGATCTTCAACTCCCCTCCCAACCCAAACCATTCTCTGACTCCCTGAGACACAACCTGGAGCTGCTCAGCTCAACCAACCCCTGCCAGAGCCTCCCATTCCCTCCCAGCCTTTATTGCCCTGAACCAGCCCAACTATTCAGAGCTTAATTTCCCTTTCAGTGCATCTCAGGGACATATTGCAGCAGCTCTTTTATATCTCCACCTATTATGATTCACTTCACCTGTATTTTTAACTTTTTCATCCAGACCTCTCCTCGAATTATCAGGAGAGCTGTACCATTAATTCTGAACATCTTATTTGAGCTTGTCTTACTCTCTTTAAACAAAATACACTTAAGCACCTCTAGACCTCATTTTTCGGTCGCCAGAGACATCTCATCACAATGGACTTTTACAAGGGAAATGAATAATTAGATTAAAGTTATTGTTCCCCCTTTTAATGCTGTAGGGATGGAAGGAACACACCTGCATTTTAACTCTGGGCCAGGGGCTGGAATTTACTCAGGAAATGCAGGGGGAGATCCCACATCACCCCTTGCAAAGGCTTGGAAAGCATCAGGGTGTGATGTGTGAATCCCCAGGGATTCCTGACTGTGGAGAATCCTGGAAAAAACACTGTGAACAATGACAAGGAGCTTCCAAGTCCCTTCCTTCAGCACCATATTTTTAAGATCCCCCCCAGTGGGGCTCCTGGGACAGGTTCCCACCAGCTGGTTCTGCAGGAGGAGGAGGAGCAGGGAACTCCTCATCTCCCAAAAGGAATAAAAATGTCCTTAAGAGGATGAGTTATTTTAGAAATGCAAGTGTGGAAAACTTCTTGGCGTGTGTTCATGCCACCACCCTGCAGACTCCAGGGAATGGGGTGAAAGCAGAGCAGCTCCTGATCCCTGGAAATGCCAGAACAGGAGAGCTCTGCTCAAAACCCAGCAGGTGCCACCAGAGCTGAAAAGGAAACAATTCTGCTGGTTTGGACTTTACCTCAGTTTTAATCCCAGGATGAGGTTTAAGGGTAAATCCCTCTCCTGGTGCCAGGTGGGCACAGCCCCTTTGGCCTCCAAGGCACCTTCTTGTTTCCTCTCCATGAACTTCACTCATCTGTTAATAACAAGACTTCAACAAATCCCTCCCAGAGCCTCCCAGTTCCAGGGATCCCTGTCTCTGCTCCTTCCAGAACCTGGTGCTGGGAGGGAAATCAGATTAATTCATCACTCACAGTTTTGCTTTCTCCCCTTTTCCTTCTTTTTTTTTCCCTGCATTCCATCAAAACATGAAAGTGTTTCCACGCAGCAGCAAAACTTCAGTCATTGACATCAAATTTAATTACTCTCCCAGATGAATTTGCTGGCTAGAACCAAATCAATACCCTTTTTTTTTTTTTCTCCTAGCAGGAACCTTTACGCTGAAGTTCTTAATTCTTCATTTTTTATGTGACATTTCCCCCAGCTCATCCTTAAAGGAGCATAAACCAAATCCTTGGCTGATTTGGGGCAATGAAGCTCAAATGGAGACAAAGCCAAACTAATTTCCTCTGTACAGGGGACCTGACAAAGTAATTTCTCTGCTGTTTTCCTTAACCTTTGAAACGTTTCAAAATTACTTCAGTCTGA